GCTGCCTTCCGCGTGGCAGGCGCAGTATCCAGAGCCTCCAGAAGGGGCTGCGGCGCGCGTTGTCGCCGCTGGTGCCGCTGGCTGTCTTCCGCGTGGCAGGCGATACGCTGCTGCGAGAAGATCAAAAAGCGCAGTGTAAATGCTGCGGCGAGGGCGTTTGTGAAGCCCGTCTCTGCGCTTCTGCCATTGTGATTTACGTGCCCAGTGTTGTCACCGGCTCGAAACACGTAACCCGTGCAACATGGAGCCATACGACGATGCGATGTCTGCTGCCTGCGCTGCTTTGCAACGGATGATTGAGAGCAGTTTGGACATGCCGATCGAGGATCAGCCAACACTCGACCGGCTTTTGGCAGCGAACCAGTATCACTTCGGTGATATTTCAGATTGGCCAAATGACATCTGTGAAATACTTCCTGGGGAGATGATGTCTTTGGAACCGCCTGAGACCTACTTTCTCGGGAGCTTGGCTGCCTGTCGCCATCTCCGGACCCACCAGGAAACTGTCCTACTTTCCTATCGCAAGGTGTCGGTTGTCTTGAGCTTTTGTCCGCGGGAGATGAAACGTATTCGTGGGCAGCCAGAGGTGGGCTGGCAAGCGTGGTTTGAAGATCTCCAGATTCGGTGGTTTACGTTCGACGTGGACGATCCCAGAACATACTTGGATGACACCAATACTTTTTGTCAAGAAGTGGGAAATGCCTGGTTGTCATCGTGGATGGACATGTGCTGCGCTCTTCTGAAGCACTTGAAGGCAACGACTCAGCGAGAAGAGCGAGGCATCCTCTTTCATTGCTTCGGCGGGGTCAACCGCAGCTCAGCGGCATTGTGCGCGTGGTTGATCTTTCGTCGTCAGCTCTCCGCGGAATTGGCTGTGCAGAGCTTGTTGACGGCCCGTCCCACGCTTCACCCCTGGAAGCATCGGCCGCATGTCTTCTGGGCATTGCGTACTTGGGAGAAGAACCTAAATTCCTTTGTAAGACCTCGCATTTTTGCTGCAGTTCAAGAACTGTGAGCTAGCATGCCGGCGAGTCGACGTGGCGAGCTGGACAGACTGTGACGATACACTGCTGCGAAAAGAGTCGAAAACAACGCTGCCTTGCGTTGCGTAACGACTGACGGAGTTCGTTTCTCAAAAGAATTGACACTGACCAAGTTCGTTTCTGACATCGACACTTCTGATGTTTTGTGCTAGCCTCCGCCTTCAGTGTTGCAAATATATACTCACTGTTCGCGCGAGTTGACCGGAGCTCAGGTCCTGCCTGGAGCTCACTCTACATCTCTGCGTGAGAGAAAAACAGCGTGTCTCACCTCTTCTTGCTTGACATCCTGCTAACACTGCCCGCCGTGGTCGGGATGAGACCACTTGATAGCTTTGATGGTCACACACGCACGCCATCTCACCACACACACACACACACCTCCTCCCTCCCCTCCTTCTCATCCTCGTCCATCACATCATCACTTATACTGCACGTCTGAGCATAACCGCCTCATATGCCTTCTCTCCTCACACTTCCTTCTTGACTTTTCATCTCACTACTCCGTCTCCCAAGTGATGTTCATATACATTTGAAATTTGTAAAACTTATCATGCGGGGTTATCCGGTCCTTTTATTTTTGGTCTTTATCAGTAGACCTTTTGTTCCTTTACTTCCTACTGGGTTGGGTCTTCTGCCATGCTGAGCCATGCCGTGCCATGGCCCCCCACAGAGAAAAGCCACCGCATGAGCCACGGAACCTCAAAAAGACCGCATCCCTCAGCTAGGAACAAAAGGCATCGCTACTAGGAGCAAGTGCCACGCTACTAGTGCATCGCTACTAGTAACAAGTGCCTTACTAGTAGTAACAAGAAGCTACTAGGGGCTCCCTGGCATCGCTACTAGGAGCAAGAACGCGACTAGTAACAATTGTATACATGTACCGAACGAGATCGAAGGAATACACTCAAGTCCGACTCTTCCAGTTCATCCTCCCCGCCTTGTCCGCATGGGCAAGGAGTGTTCCATTGAAGATCATGTTCAGGATCCTGGCCCAACACAGGACTTAGCCTGCAGCATCATGATATTGTGAGTGCCACGTCTGCATCAGGAACAGCATGATGCCCATAGCGCTGCCACCTCGCAAGCTGCCTCCAGCACAAGTTGTATTTCCCAACAAAACCCTAAATCTAATGTCCCTTGTTTCCTTTAACGATTGGATGTTGCGGTGCCTTCTATGTGGCGTTTTGGGGTTTCACACCTGGAAGACCTTGCACTTTGGAGCCGAAAGAGGCCGTTTGCCTTTGCTCCGTGTTTGAGCTTTTGAGCTTCAGGCCACATAGCTGCGCAAAGGTATCATTGAAGCCCACGTAGGCGGCCTCAGCAACGGGCCACACTCTGTCAACTAGTTGCGGCAAGCAGGAATCGCGACATGGGAAAGTACGAGGAGGATTTGTAAAGGGAGAGACTCAGCATGAAGCAGCCACAGTGCCCTGCATCCCAGCAGAAGAGTCCAGTTTAGTCTTATTTAAGGCAACCTCCATGCTTCAGGCAAATCAACGGGAACTGCATCACCTCCAACTGCTAAGCATACTAGAGAACACATCTGACATATGCCTTGCAAACGCTGAGTTCTTCACCAGCAGCAGCCACACTTCCGGAGCGGTTTGGAGTGGCGTGTCCTGGTTTGGAGTGGCAGGTCCAACGCAAGGTGCTTTCTTCAAGAAGTGGGCAGTCCAAAATCAAGAGCGAGGGGACCAAAGCAGCCAGTGCGAGCAAAAACCAAATTGGCATGTTCACCTCGGCACGTTTTGTAAGGCGTCACATGAGCCACATGAGTCACACCATCCCTCACGATGGCACCATCATGTCAGCCGTCAAATGTGCGAGAGGATGGTAGAGGCCGTTCTTCACCTGCAAACACCCTCCGAAAGTGTCCAGTTCCCACAAATCTGCAGTTTCAAATAAAGCAAACGCTTTGTCGTTGACAGTGTCCCACTTTCAGGGATTCACCCTGCCAAAGCTTCTCCCACTTTCACAAGCGCCGTTGCTCTCGGGATGATCTTCTTGACCAGGCGTTTCAGCCCACGCGATTTGCCCCGAGCGCCTTTGTTATGACTCCCTGGTCATTTGCCAAGCTCGTGGAAGGTGGTTTGAACTCTGGAGATGTGTGACTGTCATGGTGCCGGTTTGACAGCATATGCATACACATGGTTCTTTCTGGGCCCCCTCCCTGGAGATTCCCGTTAGTCACCATGGCAAGAGTGCAATCTTGTGTGACTTTGCATCTCAGGGCTGCATGCAGATTCATCCAACCGAATTCAAAGTACACATGCAGTCCTGTCAGCCAGCGCCAAACGAGTGGGCATGAAGAAGGGAGCAAACAGCAAATCCGAGCTCCACTTGAAAGTGTGAGAGCCAATGCACCCATTCTTTTTGGAGTTCCTGTTAGCCACTTGTGGCTTGTGCGAGCACCAGGACTGCAATGAGCTGTGATACACGAGCCTGTGACAAACACGCACATGTGATGCCACTTTTTGCCTCACCAAATTGTTCAGGTTCCCTGGTCAGCATTTGGGTCCTTCACAGCTCTGATGTCATGGGTAGTGTTTGCTTGGGGAGAATCACAACTCACAACCACATGTCCTGAATGACAATAAGGATATACTCTCGATCAGGCGCCACCATGATCTCCTTTGCGTCAAGCAAACGGAACCGCAGCAGCTTGGATCAGCAGTGTAGTAGCTATAAAAACAAGAACAACACTTCCAAACGGCTTCTTTTGGAATTCCCAGTGACTGTGTTGAATCATCTTAAGCCTTATGTTGTTCCTTTCTCGTTGCCATGGCTCGTGCTTCTTGGACCTGATGCGGAGAAAGGTCAGGTCGTTCATGGGATCCAAGTCACGAACAACGCTGCGCGCCTCGAGGACAACAGAAAAAGAGATCGAACGTCTCAAGGTTGTGAGCTACTTGCTCCTAGCCCCTAGTAGCGTCCTTGCTCCTAGTAGCGATGCCAGGACCTAGTAGCGAACATTGTTCCTAGTGGAGGAGGGAAAAGAAACACACAAGACATGTCGCCCTCCCAAACTTCCCAGCAAAGCCTTCGCAGCCAGCTGTGACACTAACTCCGCATATTGCTCGGTCTGCTTTTTGTCCAAGGTGGTGCGGATGGGCGCCTCAGGCAAACAGCAACCTGCTGTGCTAGGATCGAAAAATGGATTTCTTTCTATCTCTAGTCTTTTCCTTGAACATTTCCTGCTTTGGTTGTGCAAGGCCCATAAGCTTTTGATAGCGCACCGTGCATTGGAAAAGGGCACCAATTGCACTCTCTCAGTCTCTGGCCCCGTCAGCGTTCACAATCACGATGCCAACCACCTGAACTTGGAAGCGACAGGGACGCTATTGATGCCATCAGCTCTCCACCAGCACTGCTCTGTGCGGTTCACTATTTCACCAAGCTCCCCACACCCCGATGGGTTTTGATCCGGTTTAGCGTCTCCTGCACTTTGATTGTGCTCACTTCAATCATGAACGTTCAAGTGTTCATTTCGCAACTGCTGCGCCACACAGTTCAGATCATCCTGATTTGGCCCTCCCTTGCACTAACGCAAATCCGACTTTTTCTGTCACTCATTTGGCTAAGAATGGCTCATGTCACCGTCATTCAGCAAAATAAGCAAACGGGTGAAACTAGTGGTAAATGCTGAATGCTGGCTGCTCATGAAGCAGGAGAAGTGGATTTTGCGTAAAGTGGTGTTGTGTTGTTGTGCCTTGCTATTCAAAATAGACATGAGCACCAATGAGCATCAGAACGGTGGAAACATCTCGTGTCTTTCATGTTCTCTCACGTATGGCGCTGTACAAAGCCTCTTCCAACTGCTGTTTAGCGATCTGTGCGTTGGTCAAATCCTTGAGCTCCACCTGGCCAGCGTCCCGGAAGATCTGACCAAGTCGCTTCAAGGCCAAAGCTCTTCGGTAACGGATCTGCCATGGCACGCTGATGTCTTTCAGCGCTCGGTCACAAACCTTGTAGAGAGTACTCTCAATATCCATCTGAGAAATGTCCCAAATGGCCTGCAAGAAACGATGAAAGGTTTAAGATCAAAGGAAGGAAAGGACAAGAAGCAAAATAAAAAAGACACATAACAACAAACAAACACATACCGGTAAGAATAAGAGTCCCAAATGGCCTGCAAGAAAACCGGTAAGGAACCTTCCAAAGTGGTTAAGGCTTGTCTGGCAGCAGCATCTCTTTTGGCTTGATCTTCATCAGCCATGCCACTACCGGCTGCATCCGTCATCTCCTTCACGGCAATTGCACTTTTGGCCACTGAGGACATGGCCTTGAACTTTACCTGTGTGGAGCGCGTCTGATGGGTCCAACAAAATTGAGAAGAGAGAAGGACAATCTAACGGTCCAAATTGTGTTGGAAAAAAAGAACAATAAAAATCAATGTTTCTTGAACCGTTTGGTTCTGTTCGATATATCTTAGATCTTATTGTTTTTCTGCTTCTCTCACCTCCGTGGAGTGAGTCCCGTCTTTCCAACTTTGGATCTGCCCATCCACGGTGAAGTTCCCCCAACAGCTCAACAAGAACTGCTCCGCCGAACACTCGTAGACCCAACCGATGGTCCGAAGAAGCCGGCCTCAGGGACTCTCGACGCAGTTCTCACAGAATGGACTCTTTGTGAAAATCGTCGGAAAACAGAACATCACCTCTAGTCACAACGGCCTTCTAAAAGTACCTAGAAGATCTTGGCAGCTCAAAGCTCCATCCAAATCACTTAAGGAATACAAAGAGGGTATGTCCCGCTTCGCCCCTGCCTCCAAAGGAGACCTGTGCCAATTCTGCGGTCTCTTGCAAGACCCCAGTGGTCCATCCGTCAGGGTTTCGACCCATGACCCATCTGTCCAACCTCGACACCAACTGCGCTGCGCAGGTCACTTCTCGGACGAATTGCTGTCGCTTGATCTGCTGGTCCTTCTTCTCCGATCCCCATCTCATCTCACGCTCGATGGAATTTCCGATCACGTCTCGCCCGGGCGGCGCATCCTGTCCTGAACCAGCTTTCGGAGACTCTACTAGTAACAAGTGCACCTCTACTAGTAACAAGTGCCTTACTAGTAGTAACAAGAAGCTACTAGTAACAAGTGCATCGCTACTAGGAACAAGTGCCTTACTAGTAGTAACAAGAAGCTACTAGTAACAAGTGCATCGCTACTAGTAACAAGCGCCTTACTACTAGTAGTAACAAGTGCATCGCTACTAGTAACAAGCGCCTTACTACTAGTAGTAACAAGAAGCTACTAGTAAGAAGTGCATCGCTACTAGGAACAAGTGCCTTACTAGTAGTAACAAGAAGCTACTAGTAACAAGTGCATCGCTACTAGTAACAAGCGCCTTACTACTAGTAGTAACAAGAAGCTACTAGTAACAAGTGCATCGCTACTAGTAACAAGTGCATCGCTACTAGGAACAAGAAGCTATTAGAATTAAACTAAGATTGGGCTTAGTGATGGAACCATCCATGAAGAACCTAGTAACCTGGTAGCCATGGGCAACCATGAAGATTCCCGAAGAAACCCTACGCAAACAACATGTCGTTTCAAGGTCCTTGTTGATGCCGCTCGAAATCCTTTTGCAGGTCCTTCGTGAAGTGGTCTGTCTGCATGGCCATCCAAAGCTTCCCGATGTATTTCTCAAACTGCTCGGCACCGAACAACATACTGAAGAAAAGCCCTGCATCGATGTTAGGTAAGGCCTGATCGCTAATGGCCTCCACCTGCCAGCCAGAAAGGAAAAGACATGCGGAGAGACACTTAGAATTCTTGTTTCTAATAGCTTCTTGTTACTACTAGTAAGGCCCTTGTTCCTAGTAGCGATGCACTTGTTCCTAGTAGCTTATCGTTTCTGAGGCTACTATATGCTTTGGGAGGAGTACTTGGCTAATGCAAGGGTTTGACCATTGCGATTCTCGACGTACGATTGCTGCAACCGAGCGACTCCATTCTGATCGTATTTTTCTCTCAACTTTGGGTCGCTCAAGACCTGGTAAGCCTGAGCCAGCTTCTGGAACCTCACGCTGGCTTCAGGGTCATTCTGATTCTTGTCCGGATGTAACTTCAAAGCAACTTTGTAATAGTTCTTCTTGATCTCCGCAGCGGTTGCATTGGGCTTCACTTCCAGGATGTCGTAGAAGCTAGTGTCAGCCACCTTCCTGGCAGGTCGGTCATCAACCTCCTCATCTGAGGACTCATGCTCCATGGTCTCTGCCTTGGCACAGTCCTCTCGCAAGTTGCAGAAGTCGTCCACCCAAGCCCCCAACTCGGAGTCCCAACGTTTCTTCGCAGTGGCCGCCATTTGCAGTGCTTCCGGGGTATTGTAAACACCTCGGCACACTTGAGTAGCACCTGCGACAGCTCCACCCAAGGTCAAACCAATTGCACCACATACACCGCCGGCTAAGCCCTTGAAGAAGCCTGTAATGCCTTCCTCCTTGGCGGCCATGACAGGTGCTGCAATCAAAGCTGCAGTGCCCGCCACAACTCCAGCACCGGCGACCTTCAAACCACTACTGACGCCATCGATGACATCACGAGGTCTTGTTGAACTCAGCAGTTTGTCCATCGGGTGCGCTCCCGAGTTCGGGTCATCCGCAGACTCGCTTTGCACCAAAACCATGGCCGTTGAATCTGATATCACCGGTTTAGGCTCCTCCTAGTGCGGTGGATGAAACATACACAAACAATCGATTTTCATCTTATAGAAGAACGAAGAACCAGAACCCTGGAAAAACGCTGAGTTTTGGAAGTCTTTGGATCCGGTCTACTCTGGTGCGAGCACACTGTGCAAGCCTTTCCAACGCAAAAAGACCAATGGGTTTTCGGAATCTTGGCCAATGCCGCGCCTCCTTCGGTGGCGCTTCTGCCTGAGGTTGGCCCATAGGGGAGGTTGGAGTGGACTCCTCTTTTGGTGGGTAAGCTGCCGGATTCATCGCGGCCAAATTCTCTAGGATAATGAGACGGATGTGAACCACGGATCCGTGTTCAAGCACATTCCATGCACAGCCCTGGCCGTTGGGAACCTGAGCCAAAAACGGGCAAGATCAATCTCCGCATCTTGCCCGCCAAGGCCAATAAGCCAATGACCATGAAAAGGACGCTACTAGGGGCTCCTGGCCTTACTACGAGCAAGAAGCTACTAGGGGCTCCTGGCATCGCTACTAGGAGCAAGGACGCTACTAGGAGCATGAAACTTCTTTCTTTCTTTCTTTCTTTCTTTCTTTCTCTCTCTCTCTCTTTCTCTTTTTCTGCATCTAGGTCAGACCTTCCCGCGTTTAAAGGCCACTGACTGAGATGGTTAATAAGAAGGTTCCCAAAAGAAAGAGACCCAAAAACCCTCTAAGCACCTTCGCACATGCAGTTCCATACTAGTCACTAGTCCGAGAGGATCTATTTCACCGAGTGGCTTGTACACCTTTGGCTGGCACTGCTTGTGCAGCCCACATTTCTTGCAAGAGCTCTGCAGGAGGTGGCCCAGCCCATGCTCCAAAGGTTGCTGATGTGGTCAAAGGATTCGAAAAAACGATGCTGAAGTAGGTGTCTAAGCTCTTCTCGCTCACGAACCAAACGAGACCAGCTAACCCACGGAAAACCTCATCGCCCGCGAATTCCAACCTGGTGACTTTCCCCGCTTCCAGGGATGCCACCTTCCCACACCAGCTCCCACTGTCGAAAAAATCCCCATCCAAAACCATGCTTTCTTCGTAGCGATTGTCAACTTCAATCACCAAACGTCTCTCCACAAAGGTCATTCGGGGTGCCGAACTCACGTTTTGATCCGTCAAAGTAGAGCGGCAATAGCGAGCCTGAGCAGGGAGCACTGACAATTGTGACTGTGTTTGGACAGGAGAATTCCAAATTCATCCGAATCCCTTGCCCTTGCAGGTGAGTGCCTGCTACTACGACTATGGCCACGACCACGGATGCCTTCACTCTAGAAATGTTCCTCAAAAATCTAATGGGCCAAACGTATTTCCTGCCTTGGCCAAGCGCCGTTCCAGCTCCTCGGGGAGCTTCACGTGCTCGGGCGGCAAAATCACCAGGCGCACTGTGACGTGCTCATCGCTGAGCTCCTGCGTTTTATGTTGCAAGACCGCACACCGCTCAAAAACAAAGAGACAAACGAGGCCAAACTCGCCAAAAAACGTCCAAAGAGAGCCACTCCTGCGTCTCCCATGCACAGCCCGCCTCCCTGCGGAGGCCGGTGCCTGGGCGTGCCAAGTCCGGGATCCGCTGCAAGAGGTCTTTGCCATGCAAAGATCCACCACAACGTGCAGAGAAACAAGGAGCCGTAGCAATGGGAACACTGAACGCCATGGTCAAAAGTTGCGAATGATCCATATTGCTGAAGACCACATAGCCTGAAAGACCAGACCACCAGGACTGACTCTCGAAGTCTAACGCTGCAAAGTCGGTGAATTTGTTGGTCCGGACATCCTTCCAACCGCCACACTCGAAGTTCTCCCCGGAGAAGATGAAGGCACAGCGATCCTGCGACAAGTTCTCAACATTGATGGTCAAGCGACGAATAAAGGTGACCATCACAGCTTCCTAAAATCTATCATCCATCTGAGCCTTCAGCCAAGATGGCTGCGTCACACCGCAACACATAACCAGACCAAATGCTGTGGCTGCTCACAAGTCATCGCTGGCATCAAATTCAACAACTGCCCAAACAGGAAAACCAAGCTCAGCACAGCAAGAGCGAACAAAAAGAAAGATGCAAGAACAAATAGAGGTATTAGAATAGCAAACGCAATACAAGACAAAAAATAAAAGCAGTGATGACCACAACAAGACAACGTGGAACGGATGAGTAGCGCCTCAACCTCGGACATTGTGGAGCTGCTCCACCTGCTCCCTTTGGACGGCTGAGCACTGAACAGCTGCGGAAATAATGCGATGGCCTCCAAACTACCATAGTTGCGTTTGGGTGCATTTCTACCTGGCCTACTTCCGTCGTTTCTCCAGTATTCATGTCGGTTTGAACAGGGCAACTTGCAGCATTCTGTCAAATTTATGTATGCAACTTGGTGGCAATTATAGGGCACCCTTACTCTGCGGCCTCCTTGCGAAAGCACGCATACTCCCTGGCAAAGTTTGGCACAGCGCCGATGCAAAGGAAGGCTGGAAGTTGCTGCACCTCAGTGGTGAATCTTTAACCAAATGGGTGTAATTGGGGCAAGTCACAGGCTAAAGAGCCAAGAACATGACCAAAGTCAACACAACCCGTTGCAGCTAGCACTCCCTACTCCAATGGTTCTGGCTCTAGGATGGGTAAGGTGTCTTAAAAGTCAACCAAACTACCTGTCTCAATAAGACTGCTCGATGCAACACCAAGAACGACAAACGCGCAAATAAAGAACCTAGGCCCGAGGCCCACATAATAGCCCAAAGATAATTCAACACATTCTCCTGTGACAAGCAACTAGCTTGATTTCGGTGTCCAGTCGCGATTGCAACTAACTTGCTGGCTGGCCTGATCCCTTTCTCGGGCTCCAATGTATGCCGCGCAAACGAAGGTCACCAACACAGCAGTCCTCATGGGAACTGGCAATGTTTCAATGATGAAGAAGCCTTGAAACGCACCTCTTGCCAGAGGACCAAGTAGTCTTACTCTTGAGGATCTCACAGAACTGCACGTCCACCAAAGGCAATCGGGTTCCTGTCGTGATGTGGTCCCAGCGGTCCAGGAAAGTTTTCGAAGGCTGTGATTCGTTGCTTTCGGCCTGATGTTGCCCCTCACGAATCTCGCAAAAAGCTTCCAAACCTGCCGAGCGCCGCTACGTACTAGGGGCTCCTGGCATCGCTACTAGGAGCAAGGACGCTACTAGAGGCTCCTGGCCTCACTACTGGGAACAAGAAGCTACTAGGAGCAAAGGGCGTCATGGGGCTCTGACTTTCAGTTGGGCTGTTCTTGGACCGAAATCATCACTACATGTGGTGTGGGCGGCGAGTTGGGGCCTGCATTAGGAAGCTGGCTCCAGCTTTGCTTGTCGGTGGCTCTCGGCACCTCAGGTAGCGGTCGTTCACCTGAAAACCGAAGTGAGAACCCTAAGGCGTGGCCTTGAAAGGGCTGGACGTTCCTGGCAGAAAGGCAGAACTTGACATGCGACACTTTCTGTAACATCGGAGTCCTCTCCCCTTGAGGAAGCTGTGCGATACATGCGACGCTTGTTCACACCCTCTGATTGAACCAACAAATTGAAAGGCCTTCTGGGAGGCTGCATGCCAGGCATCGCATATGTGTTCCACCTGACACCAGGGACTTGTGCAAACCACTGGCTGGAAAGCCAAGCCAAATCCCAAAAGGGGCATTAACTGCTTCAACAAGAGTCGTGAAGAGTGCTGTTTTGATCGAACCGTTTGCATTCAAGCAACTTTCTCGCCTGCCCAGGCTCTGCAAAGTCGGCATTGGTGATTCGAATCATAAACCTCAGTCACGCTGCAACGTCGGGAGGGGTGTGCAAACAATGGCCCACCCAGTGACTCTACAAAACGATCCGCTCAGTGCTCGGTGCTCTTCAACTTTAGCCACTGAGAAGCACACTCCGCAGGGTTGATGCCAGGCTGGCTTGGATATCTGGGAACAAAAAGCTTCTAGTAACAAGACGCTACTAGGGGCTCCTGGCATCGCTACTAGTAACAAGGACGCTACTAGGGGCTCCTGGCCTTACTACTAGGAACAAGAAGCTACTAGTAACATATCTCGTATGGTCTGGAAAAAGCAAAAGCCTCCCAAATTGGTTTTCCCTTCCATTTGAACGAATCTACTGTTGCATCATCTGCGACACCAGCTAGGCACCCAATGCTGGCAAAATGGGGAAGGGCTTCATCTGCCCGACCTCAGGTGGACACACTTGGATACAGAACACCTGTAAAGTTCTCAGGTCATAGCTTTGACTATAGCACCCTTCTATTTCCCTAGCGAAGACAGGCCATTTTGATCGAACATATGCGACCAAAAGTTCTTCATAGCTTCGAAGGATGCCAAGTCTCAGGCCGAAGTAGCACACCCGACCTTTCGCCAAGACCAAGAGCCGGTCAAACCTGGCACTTCGAAACGAAGAACAGTTTTTCTTGTTTCCTTTTCTTACGCGGGGGGGGTAGTAGCTACCAAGCTACTAGTATGTAACGGCCACCATGCTAGGCTCGGATGCACTCTCTGCTCAGGCTTCAAAAAAGCTACCCCCTCCCCCCCAAAAGGTGCTAAAAGCCCTCCGGATAAAATTGAGGATCAAAGCAAACTAGTAGTCAGAAAGCTCCCCCTTTTTGTTACTAGTAGTAAGAATGCTCCTAGTAGCGATGCCAGGAGCCCCTAGTAGCTTCTTGTTACTATGCCCTAAACCTGGGTCACTTGGACTGTAAGGGCCCGACAATTGGAAGACGTAGGACGATGGCTGGTGAATGGTGCCTACAACCATACCAAACACATTACTCGTCCAAACGCCAGGATCACCATGGCGTTGGTGTTTTGCTATTGTGCTACTTGGCAGCGCACAAATCGTCGCCAAGTTGTTGGCCAGGGATATGCCCGTGAGAAGCTCTATGATGGCCTGAGATGAGCACAGCCGGGACAGATTGAAGGATGAAAACCTCAACAAACAAATTGGAAGAGTTGCCTTTCTTTTGCTACGGTCGTGGAGCTTAGACATACAATATCTTTGCACGACCACATGCCTTACAGAAATGGCAAGCGGGTTTGCAGACGGCCTCGGCAGCCTTGGAGTCTAAGCCAGAGGTGGGCTCATCAAGGACCTGCCACTAGGTAGGTCATGAAATGTCATGAAAGAGCTGTGGAACAGTTGAGTAACATTATGCACATCCACCGAATGCAGAATGCACCAACCTTTACCAATACAAGTTGCAACTTCGACTTCTAGCCGAGCCCAAGTCCCACCAGCACAGAGGGCCGCTTCAGGAGCTCCACAGCCTCAGGATGCGATCTGCAACAAGGCCTTCGTGACTTCGACTGTGTCTTGATCGTTTAGTTTGGACTCCGCCCAGTCCCTTCTAGGAACAAGAAGCTACTAGGGGTTCCTGGCCTTACTACTAGGAGGGAAATGCTGTAGGTCCCCGCTGGAGGGCCCGACATTCGGCATGTATGATGACTGGGTAAGTGTGTCCAGAAGGTCTTTCCTCTTAACGAAAAGGACGGGTGAAAGGCTTTAGTACACATCCCGCCCCTTCTCTAGAATCTAAACAAGGGTTCTTCGCACTCATCAGGAGCAAATCAAATGTTCCCAGTTCTGCTCTCTGGGTATCTTCACCAGGCTCACTCGCCGTCTTTGGCCTCCAGACCTCAAATCACTCCATGATCTGACAAGACACAGGTGCCCTTTACCGACTTGGGCGATGAAAGGAGGTTTTCAGATTCTCACACTTCCAGCTTGCTTTCTATTCTTTTTTCTCCTGGTCCTTTCCTTTCTTCTCCGACCTGGATTTTACAGAATAACAAGCTCTTGCCGCCATTTCTGTTTCGCTCAGAGCTGAGAAAACTGCACACCACGGATCAGCAGTCCATCCCCTACCTGCAGTGAGGTTGGAGCTGGTTCTGCGGACTCTTGGGGCGAATCCCCAGCCAGCTCAACTCTGTCATTGTCGGAGAATGCGAGAAAGAACGACATTGTTTGGACAGCCAGCTCTGTAAAGCACTTCGCCTTGACATTCTGGCATGAATCAAGGCCCACTTGGCTCAAGAGCGTCTGCACCTGGCGCGAAGGACATTGCATTGTGTTTCCAGTTCTCAAAATCAGCACAACTCAAGCCCGAGCACCTTTCTTACCACCATACAATACTTTCTTGCTGTATCTTTTAGCTAGTTAGACGTTGTCACTCTTTAGGTGTGTGGCATGCTTCTGGCGGTCGCCGCGAGACTCCCGTCCTATGGCAAAAGCTTCAAGAAAAACGAATGGCCGCGGCAACAAGCTAGAAAGTACACGGCTGTTGCTTAGATGACGTGCTGCAGCCAAAAGAGCACTGCAAACACACGGTCCTTGGTAGAGACTGGCTGCAAAAAAGAGCGTCTCCTGGACCTTGCATGGAGCATTGTGATTGACGGAGCATGTCTTTGCGCTCTTTGCAGTGCTGTTGCTACACGGATCTGCGCCGTGCCGGCTATGCCTGGTGACAATTGGAGCAAACGCTGTTGTAGTCGAGCGGCTGTGAGCGTTGGGCAGCAAGCATCAGACTGGGCCACGTAAGCGCAGCTTCTCCGGAAGAGGGCCTGGTCCTTAGCCGAGTAGATGAACGCAGCAAAACGATGAGTCTTGCAGACGAGGGTGCTCTGATGCATCGTTGGGAAGAAAGGAACAGATCTCAGGCTTGAGGCCTTTGAAAAGTGTCAAGAATTCAGGACCCAAGGCTTTACATAGCCTTGCAAACAGCCAAACTGCCACCGAGGCCTCTGCCAGGTTTTGACTGTTGAGCAGCACCTGACCTTGTCGACGGCCGTGCCGCGGTTCCAAGGCCACCTAGCACATCGCTCTGGGTGCCGGGCGGGCAGTGCAAATTCGAAACTAAAGCAGAAACGACACGTGACTCGACGACCATCTTTACACAACTCTCGTTTTGGTCTTTGTGCCGAAATTGCAAAACTAGCTCTTTGCAAGTTGGACGCTTTCTCCTAAAAGACTCTCAACATGGCACCCCGCAGGCACCCCCGCTTTGAAGGTTGCAATTCAGCCATTGGACACGGAAGGCTTCCAGCCAGTTCTCCGAGTTTCTGGCTGTGTCCAGGAGGGTGGTCTTCCCGGCGCCCGAGCCCCCGATGATCGCGAGCACCTTCGCTTTCAGATTTGTTTGGGGAGCTACCATGCTGTCTGTGCCCACGGTTCTTGCAGGCCATTTTGTCCTTGATCGCAAAGCCAAGGACGACATGTGGAACGCCAAAGTGTCAAGAGAAGTTGCCAACATATGAGAGAAGTGATAAGGGTTTCATTTCATTCCTTTGGTAGCTGCCTACTTAGGACAAATGGCAGAATCAACCGGATGTCACTTCAGCACTCCAAGGAAGCCCAAGGAACGTGCAACCTTGAAACAACAAATGGAGCCCTCTTCATGTGAAGCGCTTAAATGACGAGACTTGGTGCCTCCCCACTGCGCACGTGGGCGGTGATGTTCTGCAAGAGTTCCTAGAGGCCAGCTTGTTAGGACGTCATGGATCGCTATGGTTTTGCTTCAACGTTCTTGAAGGACGAGGACGAGTCAATGCTCGAAAGTTCCGTCCTTCCGCACGCCCCTGGGCAGAGCAAGGACGAGGCTTCGGCGTTTGTTCAGCACTGTTGTCGCTTTAAACGCTTAGTGCCCTGCCTGGACTCGACGTAAAATCTCAGGTTTCCTCGGACCAACTCATAGCCCTACGGTTGTCTTCCCCTCGTCTTCACCCCAACTGATTTGGAGATATGTGCCAACAGACTGTGCAACAGTCAAAGGTCCAAGAACGACAATGCACAACTGGACTCGAACAACTTGGCCGAGGATCGGATGTGCAGTTCGGCATCTTCCGCCACAAAGGAGACATGCCTCAGCGGGAAAGTAGGCAAAGGACGCTACTAGGGGCTCCTGGCATCGCTACTAGTAACAAGTGCCTTACTAGTAGTAACAAGAAGCTAGTAGAAAGAAAGAAAACAATATAACATAGAAATGCATCACACTTTAATGACCATTTAGGATGCTATTAGGTGGAGGCTATCGCAAGTAGGTTGGAGGCCATCGCTACTAGTAACAAGAAACTACTGAAGCTACTTGTAAAAAAAATAGCAACATGTCTCATCAGGTCTTAGGCCCTGTCTTGGAAGGTTTCCTGAGGTGCGGTGTGGGTGTCGACAGTCCTCACGACACAAACAATTGCAGCGCTGGTTTCCGTTTCGAAAAGAATCTCTGGTCCTTCAGCAGGAGGGGCAACAGACCTCAGCCACGGTCTTTCTCTTTAGGCCTTTGGACATTCTCCGTTTTCCTCTTATCTTTCTTCATCTTCCTTTCTGTAGCCAAGCTCTTGATAAAGCTCTTCTGCTCCGGCCCTTGGCAGCTTGAGCTCGCTGCTGGAAAGGGTCAGACCATGTCTGCAGAACCTCCAGGTTGGACACATGGTCTGACTTTATGAGTTTTCTTTTCTTGCTTAGTAGCAAGGACGCTACTAGGGGCTCCTGGCCTTACTGCTAGTAACAAGAAGCTACTAGACAGTAGCTCCTGGCATCGCTACTAGTAGCATTTGCTCGGAAAACGCACTTTTTTGCAATCGACCCGTCTCGTCGCAAGATGGATCAAACCTTCTTGCTGGCTGCTTTCACAAAGCCAACGTACACCGACCAAGAAGCTTTCGGCGACTCCCCGCCGTGTCGAACAAACCACAAACAGTTCCGCAGAAGCCTTGGCGATCGGATGCACGGCTTCTCACCGTCTGCGATTTGTTGCTTCGTCATGATCGACACAGACCGCCGCACATGAGACGTTCGGGCGTTGAACAGTTTCCTTCATCCATCGGCATGAGCGGCTCGGTTCATCCAACTTCTCCTTCAGCTCCTAGTAGCGTCCTTGCTCCTAGCAGTAAGGCCAGGAGCCCCCAGTAGCGTCCGAACGCTCCTAGTAGCGATGCCAAGAGCCCCTAGTAGCGAACATTGCTCCTAGTAGCGTGGCACTTGTTACTACTAGTAAGGCACTTGTTACTAGAAGC